CAGTGGACTGTGAGCTCTCTTATTTCAGTGGAGTTAATTAAATTTTAGTGTAATTAACTGGAGACACAACAAGGAATGCAAAGTAACCGTGTACAGCAGTTGTTTTTCTGACCGCAAAAAGTTAATCACGCTGCTGACTGATTCTCCACAAACATGTCAGTTCAGATAAAGTGCTTCTGGGTAATACTTTCATCCTTATCACATATCTAGAACAAAAGAAGACACAAATCCTCCAAACAAAGCAAAATGATTATAAGTAAATAACCAAATAAATAAAAACAGAAAGGTAGTGACACAAATAAGTTAGGAAGGCTTTAATCAAAAGCATCATGACGCAAACTTTTATAAAATTGTATCAAGCTTCAAAATCACAAAGGTCTGAAATGAATCTTTCCAACTACATACAGTTATTATGCTACATTAGCATTATTTATAATATTTAAGTATACAAACACATCTTGACCTTCCCCACCACTCTCAAACACTGATGACTCTACAAGAGATAAACACTGAGTGAGTCACGAGTAAACAATAAAAACATTTAGTGAATTGAATTTAAAAGTCTATCTGTCAGACAGAACTTGACATGTGCACAATAGTTTGACCTCCATTACTCTGATAATGAATTCCTTTTTCTTCCTCACAATGCTGAGTTAATTAGAACTCCGTAATCAGCAGACCTCATCAGTGACGACTGCACAATAATGACTAAACATGCCTGTTAGTTTATGTCAGAGTCTCAGCTCTCAGCACATGGATCCACACGACCACATTTCTGAAAGATTTTGTCGACTCAAGTGTCAGCAGAAAGAAAATAGAAAAAACAAAGCTGTCAAATCGTCCATGAACAAATCTCCATCTCTCAGCAATTAGTGAAGGCGGTTGTAAGGCCTGAGAGGGAGTGGTTACATGAGATAATGGTGAGAATGTTATTGGTCCAGAATGAAATATGTCAGCAATTATTATTTTGATTGTCACCAAAGGTTTTACATGCAATCATCTGCAGGTGATGAAGTCTTATGACTTTGGTGATCCCTTGACTTTTCCTCTAGCACCTCATACATGACATATTTCATATTATATAAATAACAATAACGATATTAGTAAAAAACAACTGATAAACTGTACAATGAACCTAAATAGTGAACATAAGAACTGCAGGAAGTTTGTGTAAAAGAGCGATTTGGTTGAATTTTAAACAAATTATTTCCCGTGAATATTGATCAGTGATGACTTTTCTACTCTTTGAGTACTTTTCTAATGCAGGATGCAGAGTGAAGGTTCTGTGAATATAGCTGTTCAGGTTTTCAAAGTTTAGATCTTGAATAATAATTTATGAAATTCTAAAATGCTGAGATATGTCTACCATATATATATTTTGAAATTTATTTCTTACAGCCCTTAAAATCAAGAGGCCTTAATGAAATGTCTTGACGACTATCATCACAGGATGAATTCTGATAACTTTGGCGATCCCTTAACGATCCCCTCCAGGAATGTATTAAGACATACAGTACAGACAAATAATCAGCTTGGAACAAAAATGTCTGTCTGATATGTTTGTAAAGTATAATTTCCACAATAAAATCCTTAAAAAGTAATTTACCCCTTCTACCTCATTAAAAATTCCAGAATCTATTTCTGCTGGAAACAAGATGTCTCCTACTTCCCTGTCCATTCTCAGTGGATGTGTACT